CGTTCTGGTTCGTTCTGTGTGTGTGTGGATCCACGTCCGCTGGGGCTGTGTGTTCCTTCTTCAGTTGTGGTCTTGTGTTCCTGGGCCTGGGTGCTGTTCGATCCATACTGGGTCGTTCTGGGACCAACATGCAGCTGTTCACTACCCTCACGTCCCCCCATACAGACCAACATGCAGCTGTTCACTACCCTCACGTCCTGCCCCATACAGACCAACATGCAGCTGTTCACTACCCTCACGTCCCCCACATACAGACCAACATGGAACTGTTCACTACCCTCACGTCCCCACATACAGACCAACATGCAGCTGTTCACTACCATCACGTCCCCCACATACAGACCAACATGCAGCACTGTTCACTACCCTCACGTCCCCCACATACAAACCAACATGCAGCTGATCACTAACCTCACGTCCTGCCCCATACAGACCAACATGCAGCTGTTCACTACCCTCACGTCCCCCACATACAGACCAACATGCAACTGTTCACTACCCTCACGTCCTGCCCCATACAAACCAACATGCAACTGTTCACTACCCTCACGTCCTGCCCCATACAGACCAACATGCAACTCTTGACTACCCTCACGTCCTGCCCCATACAGACCAACATGCAGCTGTTCACTAACCTCACGTCCTGTCCCATACAGACCAACATGCAGCTGTTCACTACCCTCACGTCCTGACCCATACAGACCAACATGAAACTGTTCACACCCTCACGTCCTGACCCATACAGACCAACATGCAGCTGTTGACTACCCTCACGTCCTGACCCATACAGACCAACATGCAACTGTTCACTACCCTCACGTCCTGACCTATACAAATCGGCACATCCTGTGCTGTGTCCTGTTGTTGTCCCCCAGTTTGATAACCACCCTCTTGCTATACGACGTATTTATGGATGACATTGCTAGGTCACGCCGTTCTCGTGCATCGACAGCTTTCATTTTGGAATAATGCAGGAACTCACCTTCTGTGGCCCGCCTTGAGACTAGACCTGAAGCCCCTGGAGCCCATTTGGGACTTTATCGGACGACGGATCCAAACACGTGTACCACCTGTTCAAAATGTGCGCGAGTTGGAAGCAGCTTTGCATCAAGGATGGCGACAGTTTCATCTGCAACGAATACGACGGGGTATGCGACACATTGGGTAGAGACAGTTATCCAAGCACGTGGAGGGTACTCTGGAACGTTTTTCTCATCACATACAGGCCATGTTGTCTGATCATGTCTCTAGCTCTATACTTGTAACAGATTATCATCCTGAGTCAAAACAGATCATTTGTGTATTGTGCCATATCCAGTATTAAGGAAACTGTCCTTTTGTGTGTTCTTTCAGTCAAGACATGGTCTTACGGTAAAAACATTCAGCTTTTTTATACACCACTGATCTTAGTCGAAACATACAACTTTGTAAAATTTACAAGGGTGCTTTTCCAGGTGTATATTTCTAAGAAACCGTCCTATTAGAAATCACAAGGCTTGCAAAACTTAATCTTTGGTATCATGTGATAACACAATCGGATACAGATACAGTTCCAGTCATAGTACCCATAATTGTTACATCACAATAATCCCAAATCTCATCCAATGACCTGATTTTGTTCATTGCGTGAAAACAGTTTTGTTTTGTTCGTTTGTATGAACAGCTGCCTGAATCACATGCAGGGTTTAGAGCTGGTTACAGCACTTTAGACAACATTTTTGTTTTACAATGTTTAGTACAAAAGTATCTTACAAAGACCAATGTTTGTTTTTACTGCTTGTTTGTTGATTCCAAAAAAGCATTTGATTCTATTAATAGAAAATTATTATGGTATTATGGTATTGAAAAGGGGCATTCATGGTAAACTATTTAATGTTTTGTTTGATATGTATGCAAATGTAAAATCTGCTGTTAAAATAACTAATTTGTCAATATCCAATTGTTTTGATACATTGAGTGGTGTGAAACAGGGATGTGTACTCAGTCCCTTGCTGTTCTCATTGTTTGTGGTAGAACTTGAAAATTTGTGGTATGAATCCAATGTATTTTGTAGGTCAAGAATTTATGGATACATTGTTGTTGTTTTATACAAATGACTTGTGTGTGTTTGATGACAGTGTTGTTGGTTTGCAGACAAAGCTTGATGTACTTAAGCAGTATAGTATATGAATATTGAAATTGAATATGTTGAACGTTTTCACATTACATTTTGTTAATATGTTTTAGGTGTTGGGTATTATGTCTCAAATGATGCTGCTTTGGGTGAATGCGGTATACATGGTCTGTTTATTGATTATCATAAACGATTTATTCATTTTGGTTAAAACTGTTAGCAATGCCAACTGTAACAATGTTATTTATTATGTAAATCATCAGATGAATGCAACCGTATAACTTGGGCATCAAAGGTTAACACTTACTATTTAGTTATGGCTTTGGTTGAGTGTAGATCACACATGGAGTGGGTGATAAAAACATGTTTCTCAATACCTTTGTACAAAGACTTAAAGACTGTAATCAACAAAATTGGTACTCTAAAATTTGTGATTCAAGTAAATTGTGTAATTATAAAGAAAATAAATATCTTTTGTCAATTGAATATTATTTGTGTGCTATCCCAGAAAGAGAATACAGAAGACTTTTATGTTTATTTCGTATATGTGAGCTCCCTTTAATGGTTAATACCCCTGAAGGTCCGGGTTAGAATGTACCTTCAGCAACCCATGCTTGTCGTAAGAGGCGACTAACGGGATCGGGTGGTCATGCTCGTTGGCTTAGTTGGAACATGTCATCGGTTTCCAATTACGCAGATCGATGCTCATGCTGTGGCCACTGGATTGTCTGGTCCAGACTCGATTATTTACAGATCGCCGCTATATAGCTGGAATATTGTGCGGCGTACAACTGAACTCACTGATTCACTTTAATGGTTAATATTGGTAGAAGGTGTGGCATTCTCCGCAGTAATAGAATATGTACATTTAGTGCGTTAGGTTGTGTAGAGGATGAATATCACTTTCTTCTAAAATACCAGTCGTATGACTGTCAGATCAAAACATATACCAAGATATTATTGTAATTCACCCACGATGCTTAGAAAAACTCTTATAACATATAATAAAATAAATTTTGTGTTAAATGTTGCAATGTATATTAAGGAAGCTCTATTTCTCAGAAATTCCCATCTGTCATCAAAATTATTATTTTGTATTATGTTGTACCGTGGCCTATAAACCGAATAAAACGAATTGAATTGAAATATACTGGACAAAATAAGTTACGGAAATTGGTATTTTTATGATTGATATTTTATCAGTGTGTCAATTAATAAATAGATCATTATTCATTATTTCAAAATCCCTAACTATTTTTGTCCAGTATAGGTTCTAAAGACCGATACTAAGACCGGATTTTGTTCATGGCGTGAAAACAATTTTGTTTTGTTAGTTTCGTGAAAATCATATTCTCAGAAACTACTAGGCCCTGTTAGCTTAGAGATTGTTCCATGCACTACAATTTGATTTTTATTTAACCTCGACATTATTATTGAAAAATATAGCGTTTTAAAACGGTTACAAAATGGCTGAGACCATGGAATATCACATACACTTCACAAATGCTGTATCAAACGTTATTATGTAACATGGGTGTTTGTTTCCATAACTTATGTCTTTGGGGAACACATTGACGTCTTACAGGCCAGCGTCCAGTAAGATTCCGGTTAGGAGAGGTTCCAGAAACCCAAGCTTTTAATTCCAAACTCCGTGACTTGTCCATGACATCGATGGTTGCTCATAATATGTGAACGAAACCAAGACCTAGTAGGTATTAGAAACTCTCGATATTTACAATCTCACTGGTTACTAACAGATTACAGTATACACCTGGAACAAAGGCTTTGGATTTTAAATACAGTCAAAATATAACTGCATCCGAAAATATTCAGTCTTTTATGATAATTCATGTAAGAGCTTCTCAGTTGAAATAGACTGACTGACTGACTGACTGAGTTTGGTTTTACGCCGCTTTTAGCAATATTCCAGCAACATCACGGCGGGGCACACCAGAAATGGGCTTCACACATTGTGCCCATGTGGGGATTCGAACCTGGGTCTTCGGCGTGACGAGCCAACGTTTAACCATTAGGCTACCCCACCGCCCCAGTTGAAATAGAGAGAAAACGAATGTTTCCAATCCTTTGTGTGTGATATTGTACAGCCGCTTCGCTGAATAAGTGATCTATTTCCGAGGCGTTAACATTGGTCCAGTGTGTGTACGCATCATTATGTCCATACCAGGTGTTTGTGGTAGTGTTGCTTTATCACTGTATGCACTAAGGTAGCTACACGTATCTCAATTGTCATAAAAGGCGGCTAAAGATGATCAGGCCGGGGAGCCCTGGTGAAGCTCTTGGCTACGACATAACTACACGTTTCTATAGGTTAATGCAAATATGAGTCAGTCTTCTCATCAAGACCTGTTAAGTTTAATTTTCATGCCAATACAAATTAGTGTACATTTCCTGCATCAGCGAAAATGATATGATATGCATGTTCCCAGCTACTTCTACAGTAGAGTAGATTGCCACTACAACGTCAACATCCTGCTTGGACATGTTACTTCTCAGCATGCATTTTGCATCACCAATATCCTTCTGAAGCATGTGATGTAGAACATAACTGATACGTAACATATATGTTATAAAACCTTACCTGTCTGTTTCTTCAAATAATGCTCACTATAGAGGATAGGCCACATACACAAATATTCTTATTTCTCATCAATTTACATCTTTTTAAAATTTTATGTCCAAAACCCCTTGATTTCTGTGGAAATTTACACCTTTCCTCCAGTAGAAAATCAAAACTTAAAAGTGTGGAAAATTCATGCAGGATCAGGGTCGATTTTTCGGGTTGGGCGGTAATGAGAAACAAGAGTATTTTTATATATGGCCATACATAATGTTATGATTAATACATCTTAGAAATAAATAGTCCACATTTTGTGCGAATTGGATTCAGTTTTATTGCTGAAACTGTCATAAATGAAATAGCAACTCCAACATGTGTATGAAAGTTAAGGACTTCTGACAATCCTTTTCCTTGATTTGTGTTCTGTGGTTTGTATGTACAATATAAATAACCCCTGTGTAGAAACATGTCACAGTCATTTGTGTGACCCAGAATGTACACAGATGCACTGCTCAGACAATAAATCACCCACATAAACCTGCTTCCCTAAAACCTCAAGCCTTGTTGTTTCTATATTCCTTCAAGACTTTTGATCTAGTTTTAATGTCCCTGCTGCACAGGTTTTTTTCAGTAATTTTGGCCATTACTGACCCATGTTTCCTTGAATTGTGGCAACATTTGCCATGGAGTTGTAAAATGAATAGAAAACTCTCTCTAACCACACAAGTTAGTCAGACACAGATACCTGACAACCTGTCCACAATAACAGTCACCATACACAGAGTCTGATGGAGGTGTCAAGATGGGCCTTCTTGTGAGACAAATAGTTCATGCCCCAATGATGAACTGTTACATGTATACAGGACATTTCTAAGCTGAATGTTCCTGTAGGCACCTTACATTTTTCTCATGGCACACAAGTCTATTCAGCTTGTAAAGTCCTGAATACTCACACTGGGAACAGCAATCAACCAAGTAGGTCTGCCAGCCTAAACAGTGAGAACATACACATTTAGCAATAACCCTGTAAATGTTTGACATTCTACTATTAACACTCTGGAGAGCTAGACCTGCTTTTCATCACTGCACACATAAAGAGAGCAGGAAGTGGTGTGAGACTGAAAAGCGATGTGAGGTGTTTATTTCCACCTTCAGTTTCCACAATAGCCAAGTAATTTGACTGAAAGGTAATGAAGGAAAATCATGCACGTTTTTTGTAAGTTTACTGGCAATGAAAATATTATGTACCTGACCAGTACTTGCAAGACCATTACTTCCTCATGACTTGTTACAAATGAATATATTACTTGCACATAGTCAATATATATTAATTCTAGTATCGTTAGCAAATCCAATCATATTAGAGGCAACTAAGTTTCGGCAAGCTTTTAAATTGGCTATAAGCTGCCCTCCCATGCTCTGTTGTGTCGGTAGAGGTCAAAGGCCAGCAGGGGTGGTGCAGTGGACAAATGTTCTGATGGGGATGTCATCCCCAGCAGCTTCAGGTCAGGAGCCTCCTTCTGAAGATCATGGCACAGGAATTCCAGCAAATCCGGCTCATGCTGATTTGAGGGCTGTAGAACAATATGAAGATATATACATATAACATTTATACATATCTGGCATACAGAGCTATCAGACTAAACTTTGTTACAGTTCCTGTTGGTATCCTTGAAGTAATGAACTGAGGACCTCTAAGGTCCAGACAACATATGGCCTGGCAGTGGTAGAGACATAGGGTGTAGTGATTCAATGTATTGTATGGGTAGGTCAATGGTACACATATGGCCTGGCAGTGGTAGAGATATAGGGTGTAGTGATTCAATGTATTGTATGTAGGTCAATGGTACACATACGGCCTGGCAGAAGTAGATATATGGGGTGTAGTGACTCACTGTTTTGTATGGGTAGGTCAATGGTACACATATGGCCTGGCAGTGGTGGAGATATAGAGTGTAGTGATTCACTGTATTGTATGGGTTACACATATGGGTAACAGCTAAAATGGTTGGCACAAATGCAATGGTTTAGATTAAAACAAAATACAGATTCCATTACATTTAGGTTTTTCAGCAGCAATGCCATAGTGGTCACATTGAAAAATTAAGTTTTTTGAAGGAAACTATATGATTATAATTAAGGGAGACAGACACATGAAAAGCAGATCATAACATGAGCTCTCTTGACTTCCAACTGTGCAGATTGATGGTCATGCTTTTGATCACTGGATTGTCTGGTCCAGAATCGATTATTTACAGACTGCCACCATATAGCTGGAATATATTGCTGAGTGTGGCATTAAACGACAAACAACAACCACAACAATCCATGCAGAAAAGCTACAACAGTAACATCAAGTATTTAATATGATTAAGGGACCTTTCATAATTTATGACTAGGGGGGGTGATGATGATTTTAAGGGGGTCACCCATTTTGTTCTGGGAGGTAGGGGGTCAACAATTTTGCACACGTTTGTAGAGGGGTCAGCAATTTTGCACATAAAAATATTTAAAAATTATGCTTTAAAAATACGGAAAAGGGGAGGGGGAGGGTCATTGACTTTGTACATGACATGCTGGGGGGTCACTTACTTTGTACATACATTTGGGGGTGGGGGGTGGTCCCATTCACATTGTACATGCTTCACCATAAAAATCATCATCATACCCCCTAGCCATAAATTATGAATGGTCCCTAAGAAATTCACCTTACGACTTTGATGCATGACAGTTTTTCCCTTCAGAGTTATCTCCCTTTCGGTTTTTCGTTGTAAGTCTTCAGCAGATGCTTGTAAGCCAACAAGACCATTAAACTGACTGGATTTGAAACACAGGTTCACCTTGGAAGATGCCTGAAATGACCAATCAGTTCATCTGTGTAACAACACATAAGGATCAACATGATTAAAAGATTTAAGCCAGTGAAACAATGTTTGTCAACATATTACTTTCCAAACATCAATGTAATGTGGTTCTGATTACTCATTCTAACAATACAGACCAACTGAAACATGTATGTGGGTTATATAGGCCATCTCGGTCCATCAGTCTACACAAACTTTACTGATGTTTTACTGAAGTACGGAATTGTCTACTCATAACCTAAAGGCAAAACTGTATTTCACCAGAGGTGCAGATAAGCTGCATATCCGGGTCAATACGCATAGAAACTTTCTAATTACGCATTGAAAAATAACTGTTGCATACCAATTACGCATTTATAATGTTATATACGCTAAAAGTTTAAAACAAATGCGTACGGAATATATTTATAAAAATCGCTCGCGTAATTAAAAAGACACCGATTGCTATCAAGTTGTACTGTTAGTAAACACTAGTGTTGTACTGTCAGTATAGGATGAGAGATTTTTTTTATGAAATTATTTCCATTATATTTAAGTTGATTTGGATTAGGTATGACATAAGGCAGAACATACCTGCTTTTAAACCTACTCAATGACATAATACTTAGGTGAGTAAAATAACTGAAATACGCACATATTTGAAAGCAGTGGGAAATGGAAAATGAAATACCCACTCAACATTCATAATACCCACTCCAAACAAATACAGTGGGTACAGTACCCGCATGAGATAAATCTTATCTGGAGCTCTGTTTCACAATATCAAAACATTTGAATGCATGACCAAAGTCAAAGCAGATATTAGGTTATCTTAGGATTTGCTGAATATGCATTGAGAGTAACATAGTCGAGTTCAACAGTATTTCATGAGTAATTGACTTAAGAGAAGGGTTGGAGGTCCTTGAGTTGATGGCCACAGGATTAGCTGAATTGGTAAAAATGCTGGCCCACTATTTGGGCAGTTTTGACCTTTTACAGCTGTGTCACTATTTCTCATCATGCTAAAGTTAATAACATCTCACTATGCTGAACATATATATCATGTACATATTGGGCCCTACTATTAACCACAACACGCATGCCAAAATAAATGACAAACTTATAACGGTCATTAATGTGTTCTTAATATGACTGTTGTGCATCATTTCTAAAAGGTTTAAACAATCTTAATGTAGTCATGTTAAAAATTCAAATGGACAATCTATTTTGCATTACAAAGTGAGGTACATCGTAATTAAACCTGTTAAGTAATGTGAAGTTGTTTTGTCCATGATCTATCACACCACCAACTTACGGAAACATCAAGATAAATATCTAATAACATGTTTAAAACTGTTTTTGTTCTGTGTGGGGATAGACTATTCCAAAATCTGATATTTTACCATGTTAACAGTTAAATATTATTATTTATCTCAGATATCAAAGTCTCAGGTAAAGAACATAAAAAAATAGATGCATTATTTGCATCACATTTGTTATATTTAACAGATGTGAGTAAACATAATATTTTGCCAGGTAGGTCCACTTTTTGTTTCATTTTTCAAACAGCCATACTCAACATTCTGAAAGGTACTTGAGAAATCTGTTTTTATTTCAGCATTTCTGTCTTTAAAAATGTCAAACACCACAAGGCAAGGGACAGGTGAAATCCAGTCTCCACAGTTTCATGCTTGCTGAGGCAGTTAGATTAGCTTGGGCTGTGGTAGATAATGCTTCATACCCAGTGGTTTTAGGGTGATAATGATAAAGTGTACATTCTTGTCGATGTGTCCTTGTAGTCAGAGCATAATACTGACAAAATGTACTTTCTTGTTGATAATGTCGAAAATATATTGATAAAGTATACTTTCTCACTGATGAGTCAGATATATCGTAAACTGTAGCTTGAGGTTGATATTGATAAAGTGTACTAACTGTACTTTCTCACTGACAAGTCTTGATATATTTGACCTTACATTTCGAGAGCAATATCGACAAAGTGTACCTTCTCACTGATGAGTATGATAAATTGTACCCTGTATCTTAAAGTGATCATGGTGATATCAGTAAAGTGTACCTTCTCACTGATTTCGGTCCACTTTTCCTCATTCAGGTGTTCTTGGACAGCAGATGCCACATCAGGGACCATCCCATCAACTTTCCTCATTTCATTATACACTTTCAATGAGTTATTATATTCAGGACGTGAAAACACATGTTCCACATCTGATTCTCTGTCCTCTGCATCAAAGGGGTATTGATACTCTGTGACAATAGGATGCTCCTGTAGTTCCCGTGTGACAACAACCTTCCTTTTTGATGGACCTTTATTAGAGCTGGAAATGATGAAGTCTGGTCTTTCACAGCCTTCAAAGGCACTTTTATCAGGCTTCCTAATTCCCTCAGATTCATTTTTCAACTTGGGATCTTTGCCAGCATTTACATCAGAATTCATGTTTACTGCTCTATGAGTACGAGTTGTATCTGATGAGGGACATGTCATATACTGGCTAGTTCTTTGTTGTGATAATGGTTCATGAAAATCTTCATCTGGTTTGTCCTCTTCAAAATATAAATCAGGCTTGTATACTTTGCTTATAGTCTTTCCAAAACTTGTTTCATTATCTGTTACGACATCTTGTCCAAAGCTTTTATCATTTGCATTACTGTCAGCAGCATTTAGATCAAATCTTACTTTGTATTTCAGTTTATATTTTGCCTCTGGGTCATTTCTTTCAGTCCTCAAACTACTTTTGGCTTTAGAACTGCCAGATAATTTATGTTCTGGTGTCACAGTCAGAAGCGGATCGGGCACCAACACTGTAGGTACAGCAGGAACCACACCAGTATCCAATTGTTTTGCACCATGTCTAAGTCTTGATGTTGTTGTAATGGACTGGGGTGTAAGACTCAGACGTGGATCAGGGCTGGGAAGAGCTTGGTAGAAAGTTGTTCCCTCAGAGGGCAAGTTCTGTTTTCCTGAAGTTACACCCTGACATGACTTATCTGGAGTGATACACAGGGTAGGATCAGTCTGAGACCTAAACAGTGCTGCTGGCTTTACAGATGGTATGGGCGCAGAAACAAGTGGTATGAAATCGGCAAGAAAGTCTTCATTACATGCAAACATAGTGTGTAATTCTTTTGAATAGGTTTGAGGTTTATATTCAGAAACAGGTTCGTAGTCCCTGTCACCGCGTCCAGGAGGGCAGCTGCGAGGGATGGACTCCATCCTGTGACAAACAGCATGAGCCATGACAACCATGTCAAGCTGTCACTATTCAGCAGCTCCTTCTCTGATCATTTCACATTCTGGAATTTAGAAAAAATACAGTCAAGTTTGAGAATCATTAAAATATCTTAAGGCACACATTGACTGATTGAGTTAAATTTATGCAATACCAAATTATAGTGTGGCAAGAACTAGTCTAGCTAACCTAATTATCAAATACTTTCCCAAATAACAACAAACAAAAACAGACAGGACCTCAATTATTTTGTTGATGTTGGGAAGATTGCAGTATTTCGTTTACGTATTTAACCCCCTTGATGCCCGAGTTTTTTTCAGGAGCACATTTTCATACAGTTTGAAAAGTGAACGTTGTGCGAGAATTGCGCTCGCGTGGTCCTGGATCTACGTACGGCTATAAAATTACACAGAAATGTAGAATATTAAATTTCCTTTCCGTTGGTATAAATATAAGTGCAACTACCTTGGCGGTTTGAGAAATATACACTGCTAAATGATGTCCAAAATTTTGCTATGCGTTAAAAAACAGTAATATTATCCGCTTTTTATCGCGCACCGATAAAAGCACTGTGCTACGAATTTTTTAATGTGGCTTCTTTATGGAAAGTGTGAGCGAAGAAAATACAGCCTGATATCTGAACGACATAAGTGTATATGAATTGGGTTTATGTGCTTGTGCATAACGTTATGCGCTCAACATTAAATATGACTCGCAATAAATGTCAAAAATGGATTTTCTTCTATGACGTCAAACGACGACAGAGAGGTCATACACGTACAATGATAAGGGGGCATAACTCCGTTATGGCGTAACACTAGGTCAATGTAACTCAGATCACTTGGTGAGAATTTGTTGTGGATACGGACGCTATATTTTCGTTATTTTATGTTCATGGTGAACCAAACTATTCCAATTCAAAGTTCCCCAATGTGAGCGGATGCAGTTTGGTAGTTTCACAATTTACAAGAAAAATTACAACGTATTACATGTGAAAGCACGTAATAGCGATTTGGATGGCCCTATCCAATATATAAGTTAGTTCTTAGATTCCCATATTCTCCTGTTTGTGTAGATGTAATTTGACTAATTTTGCATCGTTATTACCAGAATACTAGCCATATCTTCAAATGTAATGAAATTGCTGAAAATAATACAACATTTTAGTTGACGTCATTGCTTGACGTTTATGCATTTGCGACGTCGGAAAAAGACGACATTGGTATGCTGATTAGTAGATATCTCACCTAATGTCCATTAATTGTATAAAAGGTCTTGGCTTCTACGTCAGAATTTAACACTCTTTAGACAAAACATAAAATGACTGATTTTTCCATTTAAACAGTGTCCTGAATATATCAACAATTAGACGGTTTGATAGCGTATCTTATTGTGAACAACACGCGCACCTGTTTGGCATAAACTTAACGTAAATAAAAATAATATTTCACAACACACGAATATTTTGTTTGGGAAAAGAATTTTGTTTGTTTATGATTATGTAGCTATTTCTTTTCATACGTACGCAATGAAAGAGGCAAAAACATAGCTTTTTATATATGGAACTATATATTAGAATATGGATGTAAGATTTGTCCCGAATTAACACATGAGATGGTATATATATTTTTCAACAATTTTCCTATAAATGTAGTTAGAGTTTGATATCCTGTCATCACAATATTATTTAATCGAATATGAATTGATTATATTATCGAAAACAATGATAGAGAATTATAAAACGTTTCCAACAAACGCGCACCTGGCCGATCAATATGCATCATTCTTTTGTCTATAAAACGACACAAAATTATGCAATGAACAAGACATTCCTTTAAATATGTGTGCATATACATTTCTTAACATATATAAATCATTTTCATTAATATTATCAGTTTTACATATAACGTTGAATTAAATATCATATATGAGATTGCAATATTAGTCCAAATAAATTGAATATTATACATCATAGGAACTACAGTAGTTGCAGTTATGGCTACGTTTGATCTTCTAACACTTGTGTAAAGGTTTAGAATATGGTGTATTGCACTAAATATGTCAATTTCTTATGTAAATATGATTCAAACAATCAAAAACTTTCAAAGAATAAAACACTGTAAACCCTATATGCACGTATGATATGATATTGAACAAGGCTAAATGTAGATACTGAAGTCAGTTTCATGAAAAAGTATCTGAACTATACCCAAAATATACACCATAATATACTGACAGCGTAGTCGGAAAGATTGGGCGATTGTGTTTACTCTTGTTCAACCGACTTTCACCTCAAAGAAATTGCCTAATATGTACAACAATGTTGACGTATGACATCACTACCGCTGACCGATTTCTTACAAAATGGCGGCTTTGCTGACAAAGGTACACAGGATTTCGCGAGGACCCTTCCATTGATTCAGGGATCGTTTGTACATAAATATGACATGTAAGTAATCAGAATGATTCTGACTATCTGTGTATTGTTATATGTTTTTATCGTTTTCACTATAAGTAAGAGAAAAAGCCAGAAATGCAGATAATTACCGTTGTCGATTCTGCGTGATTTTCGTCAGTCATGGCGTCGCGCTGCACGGAAACTTTGACAATTTCTTATGAATTATCAAATCATTGCATTGTATCCATTTATAATTTCCTATTGCTTGCTACGATACTCTTTCCGTGCATATTCCAAAGGTATTGAGCCATTGCAAGCAATGAATAGACGGATGAATGTTGAAAAATTTCAGAAAATGCTCACGAGTGCAAAAATCGAATTTGTCTTTGTTTACATTTCAGACATAAGCGCAGTCTTTCAATCATAGTGTTCGTTTTCACACCCAATATGTTTTCGTCTCATTTTATCTAGACAGTTGGTATTGGTGACAAAGACCAGTTGCAATTCGATTCTAAAATGTATGGGGAATTCAGTGATACATGTTTCGAAGCTGAATATGAAATATACGTGATGTAATAGGCGTCTCAATACCGGCCTTCGCGAAACGTGATTTTGTTAACACAATCCAATATGGCGGAAAGCGCTCTACGGCATTAGTGTAAGTGCATTTTCGAAAACATCCCAACCGATTCTAGATTCATCGGCAACGTTTCACAATTATAATAAGCGATTTTATGTAAAACTGATACCAGTGATCATGAATATGTTATTTTTGAAATTCAATAGTGCCAGTAATTATCCGATTTTCACATTTCAAAACATACAGCAAATAACGCTGTGAATCACGATTTCGTACTGTGTCAAAAATGGCGACATTTTCGATGAAGCCTATTGTAGTGAAAACTAGTTCACCACTACGGCGGAACACCTATGGAGCTAGCTATGGCTCACACTCTGTGGTAATATAGCCCTAACCTAAGGATTTAGGTAGACCCCAGATAAGGCGTTGTGTACTCACAGAATGGCTGGCATAGACTCGCTGTTTTTCCGGCTGTTCCTATCACCTCCCGACACCGGTCATTACCACTATCTCTAGCAAGGGTGACCGGCGATCACCATATTCTTCCCCGTTTTAAAAGGCCCCCTCCACAGGAAGTACACCATGCCATCCTCAGCCAAGGGGTCTTCTCGTAACTGTCTCCCGAGGGGTATCCTTTCTGTGCGGCACACCAAGGGGTCCTCCCCTCAGTCACACTGATTCCGCAATCACCTAGCTTCCGGCTCTCTGGTGTGGATTCCACCGTATCCTCGGTGGGACCAATCGTCCATAACATATAGGGTTCGGGTCCCACTCGTACCAACAAGTAAGACCCGCAGTCTTTTACAGTCTCTAGGAAAGTCCCACTCCGCTTCGGAGCGACACTGATGACCTGCCAAAGGCCATCCAACCCCACCTAGCCATTAGGTGGGGCCAACTGGCTGCTACTGGCGCACACAGACCCCACCCCGTCTTGGGTGGAGCCCAGAAAACATTAGGCATTACACGAGCCTCACCCTACCATTGGATGAGACCCACGGCGTCCCCCAGAGTGAACAGCAGAGCCGCGTTGACTTTTGTGGTCAAGAGAAGTCCCTCTTTCTTGCTACCACTTGAGCCACATAGCACAGCAACACTGGAGCTCAGGGTGCAACCTTCTGGCCCAGTGTCGGGACAGTCTGTCCCCATCAGCACCCTATCCTCTGGCACTGCCCTTAACCACACCATCTGGCCCTGGGGAAATTCCACCACCCGGGAAGTGAAACTGAAACAAGATTGTGAGAACCCCTCCAACCATTCCTGGTCCGTCCCCTCCTCTCTGGTAAAGTTCGGGACTACCAAGGGTTTATCTTGGGGAAGGCATTCCTTCAACACCCGGATGACCCGGGTGTGGGATGATCCGGCCAGCTCATCCCCCTCAGGCCCACGAACCCATACCACTACCGGGCACCCAGCCGGGATGTTCGGTGCCAGCTACCTCAACACTTCTTCCTGTCCTCTCCACTTGTTGGCCTCTGCGGTGTCGTCCAGCCCCACCACGCAGAGGACGTCCCGCCAAAGACTTAGCGGCAGGCGGAGCGCCCCGTCAACCAGATTGGCGTCCACTCTGGGGTGCAATCCCACAACTGTCCTACACTTGGGATCAGTGTGAATCTTCTCCGGGTAGGATTTGGGGTCACTCTGCGCTTCAAAAGAATGCCCCTGACCTTCTGTCTGATTCTTGTTCACCCCACTGGGGTCCCACCTGGTAGGGATCTCTCCCAAGTAGCTGTTATCTTCCACCCCTGTCACCCCCCTGACTGTCCAACGTCGGCCAGCTAATGGAAGGATGTACTCTACGTCCTTGTGGAACTGGTCCCCATTTTGACAGCCCCCGCATGGGAGCTTGTGTAACTCAACCAACCTCTGGCAGCTGTCACAGTCTGCTTCATCGGCCAGGTCTTTGGTCCCTGGACGATATTCAACCCTCATGTCATATGGGCTCAGTGTCTCAGGCCAGCAGGCCAGCTGTCTGTCAGACGATTCGAAATTAAGCGACCACCTCCAACTGTTGTGGTCCATTCGCATCAGAAAATACTGCCCCAACAGGTAGTGGCAATACTCTCTTGGAAGGCGAACATCCACCAGC